CGGCTGATCGTACACTTCGCATCCTCCTTTCTTATTTTGAAAACCTTTTAAGAAATCATTTTGAAAATCTTTTCCTTGGGTTGAGACTGGGTTCACACGAATGTTCCTCCAATTCACCCAAGGCTCTGATACCAACTTGTAACACCCATAAAATTTTAGCAAATTTAAAACTTTTTAAATCGTATAAAACCATTCAGTTATTACAGTTTGTTTTCAAAATAGTTTAAACATCAGAATTCCCAAAAATCATAATCATAAATCGAGGAGGTGTACGGTCACGCCTTCGCCTTCCCGCGGTCGTCTACTGAACCTGAAACAATAAACTGAAACTATAATCCCGAAAGCTTAGTGAGTTACCCCCAAAATACCAACCTCATACAACCATAACATATCATATAACAAACACAGAACAGCCATGCATCTCGAGTCTACAGTGTGACTGGTCCGCCCGCACAGGGCCTTCAGTCCACCTCGTCCACTCTCTGAGTCTACACTCTGACTGAACCGCCCGCACCGAGCCTTCAGTCTATCTGGTCCACTCTCCGAGCCTCGGCACGTCTGGTCCGCCCTCTCGGGGCCTTCAGCCTATCCGGACCGCTCGTCGGGCCTTTGGCCTGACTATGTGCCCTCCTGGGCCTGCAGTCTATCCGGTCCGCCTTGGGTATGTTGGCCTACAGCACGAGGCAGCACCCGCCTCAACCCAACCCCCTTACCAATCAAACAATCATGTGTACATAATTATCATACGCTAGCATGTATATAACAGATAATCATACCGATCTAACATATCACTAACACAGCAACCATCCTATATCCAGGATACCGACCTAACTGGTCATTAACATAACCTCATCCTAACTACCAGGATGTAGATCTAACATATCAATAAACATATCAAGCAAATACCCGGATACAAATCCGATAAAGGGCCGGCCTTGGTGCCTTAGACCCTGTTGATATAGTGAGGATAACTCACCTCGCAACTGTCGATTTGAAAGATAAGCTCAACCTCTCGGATCACCGACACGAACTCCACCACCTATAGTTACTATAAAACCCCTTTTCATAAATTTCCAAATTACCAAAATACCCCCAGAGGTCAACTGGTCAACCCTTGGTCAATGCTAAAGCCAACAGTCAAGGTCAACAGTCCATGTTGACCCGACCCGTCGAGTGCAGGTTACCGACTTGTCGAGTCCTTCCTGAACTCGAGATGTCGTGAAATCCTTGGTTGACTCGTCGAGTTTCCTCGCAACTCGTCGAGTTCACGCGTATCATAGGGTTGGGGAAAAACCCTAGCCGACTCGCCGAGTCATACGACTGACTCGCCGAGCCCAAGGCAATCTTCATCGAACTCGCCGAGTTGTTCATCCAACTCGTCGAGTACATGACTATCTTCATATGACTCGCTGAGTCGACCTTGCGACTCGCCGAGTCCCTTCAATCCTTCAACCATACATATGCTTTTTAAGTCATGCAAAGGCTCCATATTGCAGATCTAAGCTCCTAAGGCATGTTTATCACGTTAAGTTGCGACCTTTACGTGCATGCAAGGCTTTATAGGCTTAGAATGTCAATCCCAAGCTTACAATGGGGTTTATCTCAACATAGAGGGTTCATGCTTGCTACAGCTGGAGACTTTATGGCTCTAGAGTCCAAGATGAGCTCAGATCTGAAATTGCGACTTCAGATCCTAGCCCATACTCGAAAATGGTTATTACCCATGCTATAAGAGCCCTAATCTTCAACATGAAGAGATCTAGAAATAACAAGGTCAAGGTAACAACTTGTTACCTTCAAATGATGCTAGACTGAGGTAGGCTTCAAATCCCCAAATGTTCTTGCCTCCAACTTCTTGATCTTCAAGCTTCTAGCAACAAAATCTTCTTTCCAAGCTTGAAATTCACACTAATGTGGAGCACACACACGAATTAGGGTTTCTGGACTCTCAAGAGGCAGCAAAGGGAGACTAAGGGGAAAATGGTCATTTAAATATGGTGCAAAACCCCGGAAATTAGGGTTTCATCCTCTAGCTCCTACTCGTCGAGTCCCTTCTTGGACTAGGCGAGTAGATCACTTAAGTGCGCGGCCTAACCCGCTGCTACTTGACGAGTCAGGAAACCAACTCGTCGAGTAAACCTTGAATCCATGAGAATTTATCATCATAAATTGATACTCGGAAATCGGGGCGTTACAATTTGGTTACTGGTTATGAGGGCAACCTATATATATATATATATATATATATATATATATATATATATATATATAGTTATGAGCTTAGACAACTTAATCCAACAATTACCACCATCTTAGTATCTAAATTGTAAAGCTTATAAGCTTTCTTTCCAAATGGGTATCCAATAAAAACGCAAGGAGAAGCTCGAGGGATAAATTTGTCTCGATGTTCTATAAGCGTGCACATGAAACATAAACACCTAAATGCTTTAAGGTGAGAATATGAAGATTTTGTCCCAGTTAACTTCAACAAAGGAGTATCACCATTTAACAATTTTGTTAGAAATCTGTTTATGAGATACGTTGTTGTGAGAACACATTCCCCCAAAAAGTAATAAGAAAATTGGATTGAAAGAAAAGTGCTCGAGAAGTTTCCAACAAATGTTTATGTTTCCTCTCAACAACTCGGTTTTTGTTGAGGAGTACTTATGTAGCTAGTTTGATGTAAAATGCCCTTTTCTTGAAGAAATAGAGTTGCTTCTCTACTTGAACCGAGTTCAAAACCATTGTCTAATCGGATGGTTTTAATTCTTGTCCCAAATTGATTTTCAACTAGTGCAATAAATCCTTGTAAGACTTGATAAGCATTCACTACTAGAAAATCTGAAAATACCTACAACAGAATCCGTAGGTATAGAGCGTTACCTACGGAATTGTGACGGAAAACATGTCGTTAGCATAAACGCCCGTGGGTAAATAATACCGACGAATTTGTGACGGATTACCTACGGAATACCGACAACTTTTTTCCATCGGTAATTTACCTACGGAATAACTACGGACTGAAAGAGCGACGGATCTCCTACGGATTACCGACAGGCACCACATTGACTGTCATTTGACTTTATTGCTGACGGATTTCCGACGGAAACTTTTATCTATGGAAATTCCGTCACTAATCCGTCACTAAAATGAGTAGAAAAAATAAAAATAAAAATCCATATTTTTCGGCATAAAATAAGAAAAAATACAGAAATTAAACATATAATGAATTACTTAATCAACCACAAAACTAATAAACATTACTATAAACTTTGCCAATTATAACATTATACTTTGCATTTACTTAATGTATTACATAGAAGTAGCTTAAATACAAACCAATACAATTCATATTCATACAAACACAATGCATTTCAATTGTCCTACCCTACTTTGTATGAAGATATTCTTTGTAACTATTTCTAACATTGCCTTTGCTTCTTGCTTTGGCTCTTTTTCTTGCAACCATACAAATATTGCAAGTATTATCCACTGAAACAGTGAAATAGAGCAACAATCCTGTATCAAACTAACAATGTGCAAGCTAAGCTTGCCTGAAAAAATGTAAAAACAAGTATCAATTCCTAACCGAAAGAAAAAATGTAAAAACAAGTATCAATTACTAATTGAAAGAATGTGTAACTGTTACATATAAAAGTAGTTAGTTATAGTTTTCTTTTAGCATATAA